CACTAACAGACACACACACTCACTAACAGACACACACACACACACTAACAGACACACACACACACACACTCACTAACAGACACACACACACTAACAGACACACACACACACTAACAGACACACACACACATGTACTTTTTAACCCCCCCTCCAGCCCCCTTACCTTTGGGAGTGCTGGGGAGGGAAGGGGTTCTCTATCTCCCTGGTGGTCCAGTGGCTGCTGGGTGGGCGGCATTGGCGGGTGGGCGGCATTGGCGGGCGGGCGGCTGGCGAGGGAGCTCTTCCCCTGAGCGGTCTGCTCAGCTCCCTCGCGCGCTGCAGAGTGAGGCTGCAGAGTGAGGCAGCGCCGCCCAGCGCCCAGCATGTCTGTTAGCCGCGAGGCTAACAAGACATTTGCCTTGGGCATTTGGGGGGCGGCTTTTTTTGCCGCCCCCTGAAAAATGCCGCCCAAGGCAAATGCCTTGTTTGCCTCGCGGCTAAAACGCCCCTGACTGTGCCATTGCTGTGGCCTGTCGGTGCAGACTGTCTGTAACAGCTGCGCGCAGGGTTGAGCCCCCTGCAATACTATTGGTGTGAGCCCCCATATATCCTCTGACTACCTTAAATTCGGGCTTCTGTGCCATATGGGACTTGACAGGGGTTAAACCCCAGATTAGCGGTACCTCTCTCCACTCATATATGATGGGATGAGCCCCCATTCACATACCTCCCTGACCCGGAGACTCAGGGGTTCTCCCCTCTAGCTTTTGGAGATTCTCAATGCCTCCCCATATTTCCAAGGGTATAACCCCTTTATATATTACCGGCCTCTCCTACCGACTGGCTTTGCAGGCAAGGTCTATACATACACATATACGGCCTCTGAAGGTGAACCTCATACTGTATATTGCAGGGGGGACCTCTCCAACAGGCCTGACTAACAGGCGGAGTAACAGTGTCCTCTCCTTTACAGGATGACATGTGATACAATATGTCGGACTCACCGCAACAGACGCAGAACTTCCAGTCCATTATCAGCGTGGCAGTGGTGGCCTCCATGGAAAAGGCCATATCTAAAATGCTGATGCACCTCCCTCTTTATAACACTTCAAGAACCGGAGGATGTCTTGGGCTCAGAGGTTTCCACATAGGACCTCCTACCCCTATCTAGGCAGCATCAGAAGGGCACCACGGGGACCCAGCCTAAGGGGAAGGGACCGCTCAAGTGCTCCAGGCAGCTGGCAACAGCCGAACCCCTTTCCCCAATACCCTCCTCAGATGAGGAGGATGATTACCATCCTGAGTTTCTTCACATCCTGTATGAATGGAGAGCGGAACATTCTGGATCGGAGCAAGAGTGCGACAGGCAGGATGTGCCACCTTCACTCCAGAGAATCCTTCAAGGCTGATTCCCTCTATCACACCATGCACGACTCCTTCCTGTCGGAAGGCGATGGTCTGTTCCTTGACACCCATGGCAGCCCAATCTTCGACCCGAGGACCATCAGGTACCCTCAGTCTTCTGAATGAAGTCTACCGACCCATCTCGCCAGATTTGTCCACTTATGCTCCGGAAACCGCTGGACCGGGTCGTAAGGACTTGCATGTGGGCGAATGCCCCAGGCCCTTGCTCCCAGATAAAAGGGCATTAAAAAAGGGGTCAAGGCGAGGCAAGATAAGTTGCTAGTAAATCAAACACAACTTGATAGGTAGACACGAAAAACAATGATGAATAACCACTAACGTTGGATAATGAGACCAGATGTGACTACCATAACCACTGTGGCACTGTAGAAATAGCCGCCACCTACGGTTGAAAGATACAAGTACTGGGTGCTTATTGAGTTAACAATAGTAATTACAGGACTCCGTGAAGATGGAACTTAAATGGAAAAACTTAATTTCAAGATATATTTAAATATATCATAAAATAGAAATGTATCAGCTAATCATACCATTTCCTCCCATGTAGAAGGGTAGGGAAAATACTAAATAGCTGAAATAGTAATCTAGTAGGGGTTCTGTAATACGCATGAACCGGTTCACATTAAGATGAATATAATAATTGAGAAAATAAGTTATCCCACTTAGGGTTAAAATCCAAAAGATGTGTCAGTTATATAGTGTAGCCGACAGAGTGCTTACTATAAAAGATTTTATTAGTGCATATACACTGTCAAAATAATACACATATATATAAAAGACAAATACATAAAATGTTCCAAGTAAAAAAGCAGATAATACCAGGTTTACAGTCTGAGGGTCCAATGCTGTTTATATCTCTCTCTCACCGGCCGGATAAAAGTGAGTCTGGACCTCCTCGTGTTGTGTCAACACTAGCTGTTAGCCGCGTGCATTCCACTGCGGCTCTGGATGCTTTCAAATCTGCTTTCGTCTGGGGATCAGTGTAGAATGCCGCCTAACGTGTTTCATGATCATAGGATCACTTTGTCAGAGGATGACATCCTTGTTTCTTCATTCTGTTATATACTGTTCATTCTGATTGTGCTGGTCGTGGACGATTTACCATAGGTGGGTCCCATTGTATTTTACCAACCAGATGCTTTCACTGCAGGCAGGTTGTCCCTTTTCTTGCAGAACTGGGAATCTCCATGGATGCATGAATTTTACAGATGGTGAGGGGTTATGTAAACAAATGCATTGCTCCTCCATGCCAACTTGATCCTCCACCTCCACTTTGGGTTTCCGTGGAACATGAGGGTCTAATAGACGATGAAATCCAGACTCTGTTCTCCAAAGGTGCAGTGCAGTACTCCAGAGATGAAGGCGGTTTCTTCAGCAATACCTTTCTGGTTCAGAAAAAGACTGGAGATTTCGGCCAGGTCAGCAACTCAAGACATCTCAATTCCTTCATAATGTATCGACAATTCAAAATGCAAGGGATTCACCTGTTGTGAGACTTTCTATTCAAAGGCGACTGGTTCACCCTGTTAGACCTAAAGGATCTGTCGGTCCCAGTCGAGCCTTCCTGTCACAAATTTCTATGATTCCGTTGGCGAAGTCGGTCATGCCAGTTCACCTGCCTCCCCTTTGGGAGCAGTTCAGCTCCCTGGTGCTTCACAGAGCTCCTGAAACCAGTTATGGCTCGTCTAAGATCTTGGGGAGTAAGATGCATCATCTATTTAGACGACTTGCTGATTTTCTGCGGCTCGGTATCGCAGCCGCGATCTCAGATGAACTTTGCTGTCAACCAAGAAAAGTCAGCGTTGAAACCTACTCAAGTAGTCCAGTTCCTGGGGTTCGAGAAGGAGATTCAGAAAGTCATGTGAATGGAACACGTTCCCCTACGCCTTTTGGCTTGAGTTCTGGGCCTCCTGTCAGCTTCCATCCAGGCGATCTACCCTACATTACCTGGCCATGCAGAGACTGAAAGCTCAGTACCTCCACTCTTGACTCTCGTACGACCAAGAGGTACCTCTCACTTTCGAAGTACGGACAGAACTTTGTTAGTGGCTTCTCCATATGCAGAACTGGAACGGGAAAGCCATATTCGGCTCTTCGCCAGACTTTGTGGTGGAATCGGATGCCAGCCTATGGGGTTGGGGAGCACACTGTACGGACTCGTCAACAGGAGGACCCTGGCAAATCGAGGAGACCAGTTTACACATAAACTGCTTGGAACTGATAGCAGGCTCCTTCACCATCCACAGCTTGACCCGCAACATGTCTGATTGCTGCATTCTTCTCTGCATGGACAACATATCCGCAGTCCAATATATCAACCGACTGGGCGGGATCCACTCACAGGCTTTATTGGAAGCGACCAAAGACATTTACAGTTTTTGTCCGCCTCGCAATATTACACTGAAAATGGAATACCTTCCAGGAATTTCGAATTGCACGGCAGACTGGTACTCAAGCCACTGGAGGGACAACAGCGACTGGCATCTACATACATCAGTCTTCAACAAGCTTTTCGAGTGCAGAGGTCCATTGCATCTCCATCTATTCACATCTCGAACAAACCATCAACTGCTCAGATTCTTCAGCTGGCTTCCGGATCTAGAATGCGAACCAGTGGATGCGTTCCTCCAGACTTGGCCTTGAATGGGAGTATATGCTTTTCCCCCACTCGCCATGCTAGCGAGAGTTCTTCATCAAGTGCAGATCCAAGGGATCTTTCTACTTCTCATCACTCCATTCTGGCAGAGCCAGGCCTGGTTTCCGGACATGTTGGAATTATCATCCAACCACCCTCGTTCCCTGTAGTTCTGGCCGACCCTCTGGGGAGAACCTCACCCCCTCATCCTCCAAGACCGCCTGGAACTTGTGGCTTGGATGATTTCAGGGGATCCTGGTCGGTCGATGGACTATCGCAGACAACTAAAGACTTGTTGTGAGATTCATGGGCTCCTGGCACTAGACGTAGCTTGTAACAGATGGTCTAGCTAGTGTGTGGAGAGGGATCCCTTTACTGCACCAGTTCCCCTAGAGTTGAATTTTTTGTCTCACCTATTTTGTCGGGCCAGGTTTATCGTTCCATCAATGTTTCCCGTTTGGCTACGTCTGCATCCCATGTACCTGTTTAGGGCCTACCAATAGGCCAAGACCCATTGATTTGTAGACTACTCCGAGGGATCAGATTATTGTGCCCTCGGACTCCCAAATACTCGCGTCTCTGGAACATCGTTATTGTCATTACGTCATCTGTCAGTGAAATTTACACTTTTGCTCTGCTTAGTATCATTCCGTTCGGTGGCGGACGTCCGGACGCTCGACGTGGACGGCCTCTCGTTCACGTCTGAAGGGGCTTCATTCTTGATCTCCTGGTGCACTAAGACCGATTCCTCAATGATTTTTTTACCCATTTTTTCCTTCGGACCCTCAACTATGTGTGGTTAAGACGTTATTACTCTATTTCGAGTCTACTGCCCCATTACGTCGTTCTCCGACGGGACAGTTGCTCATTTTCTTCTTACAACCTCACAAACCGGTGTCTACCACTACTTTAGCCAGATGGGTACGATGGCTATCATCTCTAGCTGGCTTTGAATCCTGTTTCGGCGCACATTCGGTACGTGACGCGGCTGCATCACAGGCTTTTTTAGCGGGAAGATACATATTCATCACGGGAAGATACCTCCAGGGTATTTTATTTTTGTCCTTCTCCTCATGCTTCTTTGCTCCTCTTCCTTAAGCATTAAAAATGCAAAATAGGAAGCCCCCTGTAATCTTAATTTTAGTAATGACAGGAGGCAAGTATTTCCTGCCCCCTTTTTTTCTCTGTTTATCTTTATTTCCCGCCCTTGGTGTTTGTATTTTGCTTATGTTTTGGTTTATTTGTGATATAGTATTGTGATAGTCATATGGTTTGGGGGTTATATACCTTAGTATCAATTTAGCATATTGTTAGTTATGATTATTATTGAATAACTGTTATTAATATTGAAGTTGTGATATCTGTCATTTATGTTGACACAACACCATGGTTCTCGCCTTTCACTTCTTTCTGTTTTTTCCAGGATGAAAATCATCATTTTACAAGTTTGATCGTTGCTTCGATGTCCACCAGTGTTACAGTTTAGAATTGGTTCCGATGGTTCTTAGTTCCTGTTATAGACTTCATGGTTCATCTATCTGTCTCGCATCAAAGAAAGAGGAGGAATGTGGGTGGACTCAGACTTATATATCCTGTGTTTCTGAGTTTTGATTGGTTTATCATTTAAATGAATATTTGCTGCTGGAGTTTTTTAAGTAAAGAAAGTAATGCAAAAAAGGAAGCCTCCTGTCATTACTAAAATTAAGATTATAGGTACACTACATTAGCATAATCTACAATTATCAACCCATATAAAAGAGTATTTTTGTCAACTTCACTTTATACATTGGTTGACACGTTTGTTTGTGTAATTGATGACTGCGATGCGGACTTCAAGCTGAATGCAAAGGCAAGTTTAAACTGTATATGCTTGGTAAAATTATTCTCCTGGTTAATCATGGCAGCATTACTTATGGGTAGCTCTGCCCTCAGGACCAGAACAGGACAGGAATTAGAATTCAAATGAGACCAAGTGTATAAAGTGTCCCTCCTCCCTTCACACACCAGTCTTTTTCCTGTCCTCAGACAGACAGGATATTTCCTATTTTGTACTTTTATTTTTGTCCACCTTCCCATGTGTACCATGGTTCTCCCAGACAAAGTTCAGCCCCTCTTTGTTTTGAAGAACCCAGTAAACAGCCTGTTTGTGAATAGGACTAACTGGGGTAGGTTCAAAATTAGATATTTGAACTGCCACGGGGGAATCTTATCATATTCTATCAAGCATTTCGTGGAAGTTCTACATTAGGTCCGGCTACTCATCCTTCTATTGCTCTCACTACTATTTTCAGATCTCTTAAGATATGGATTGATAATGGAGGATGATATTTCTAGTGGAGTTAGAAGGGAAAACCTCTTGGAAAACCTCAAGGATTTCAGAATGGCAGCAGATTTTGGACATCACTAAAATGATAGCAAGAAGAATGGCTTTGTTAGTGACATCCAGAA